TTTGGAATAAAGCTGATGTAGCTTTAGCGAAGCTTACTGCTCCAATAGAGTCATATATGTCTGCTAGACCAGCTTTAAGGGAATAGAACGGAACCCTTTATACTTTCTCATTACTACAGCTCTCGGGAGGTCAACATAACGATCAGATTTTAGGGTGGGCGATCATTTCCTACATCCACTGTACAATGAAGACTATTTTAATAATTTGAAGGAAGTACAATACAAATCTGGCAAATGTCCATCGGCAAGAACATAAAAAAACGATGTTTGTGTGGACGATACTTAGAGCAGCTGTACCACGCCTCAGCCGAATGTACAGGTCTGTTTTTTTTTTTTCAATTAGAATTAGTTGTTAAGGCATTGTGAATCATGCCGTCTGCATATCCAGCGCGCACACGGCTGTGTGGCCGGTGTTGGAGTGCGCCGCTCCAATGCACGGTTCCTGTCCCGCCTCTCCCAGAACGAATTATACCATGACCAAGAATGGCTGGGATAGATCATTATCCGGAATTATAAAAATGGCTGGCTCAAAGGAGACGAAAGCGGCTCGTGAGCAAACACACACGAGAAGGCAAATAGGGAGATAGCAGAGAATTTATGTTCAGAGGACAAGTGAGACAGTTTTGGCTAACACTAATATACTCCCTTCAGCTTTTACCTCCAAGAAGTCTCGCATGTATTGAGTAGTCAGACATTGCACAACTTGACTGTTACTCACATGTGAGGTGCAAAGCCAAAAAAAAAAAACAGTTTGCTAACCGTTATTGGAATTAATATTAGACAGATGATCCACTTGGAGGCGTTCAAGGTGGTAGCCAGCCTGTGCACGGACAAGTGGTGTGCGCACAGACAAGAAGTTTGCTGACAGGTCCGCTGAAGTGTCCTTTCGGAAGCTGTGGTCACGGTGGCAGACCTTGAGTGATATTCCTGGAACCTTACATTAGTAGAGCGCACTCAAATATCGTTACAGAACAGTCAAAACGTATGACGTCGAATTCAATCGCTCCAAGACCGGTGTTGCCCTCTGTAATGGGCTCACTGTGTGCCCACTACTTCGGCTTACACGTTAGCGGACGTGTATGAGGAAGCGTAGTTTGCTTAAACTTAGATTAACTA